ATGAAAATAATATTAGATTTTTATAAAATTCGAATTATTTAAAAAACCTTTAGATTTAGACATTATAAATCTTATTAAAACAAACACTTATTTTGTTCAGAAAATCCAAAAATGCAATAAAATATAGGGTATTTCATTTAGAAAAACACAACATTGATACTTTTAGGGCTTTTGGGACACTCTGTACATTACAAAAATATTTTTTAAATGTGCACTCGATAATTTGATATAAAATGATAATAGATTAATACATTTGATATGAAATATTCGACTTGCCTCCACAAATAACGTGGTACTCTCAGAGTGAGTCCCAGAAAGTATCTAAAGGAATAAGGTATGTTTTAAATCACCTTCTTTATTGCCATTAAAAATACGAAATATAACAATAACAGTGATTATAACCGGCATTACTTTCAATTCTGTTGAGCAAAGAGCTGAACAATTTAAACTGAATAAATTGTATCATCGTCAAGATTTCGACAACAATCAAAAGTCGTTCAATTTGGAGCAACAATTGTTGAGCACAAACGTAATTCAATAATTTTGAAATTGTGAATTGAGCGATTTAGAATTAATGCTCAACGTTTCGATGTCATAAATATAAAAATTGAATAAAGCTGCAACTCACACAGAAAATGTTTTTGACTGTCTTAATGTAAAGAAACTAAAAACGAGCTACCAGTCAGTACCAAAAATATCGCGTATTCATCTGATTTTAATTATCCCATCCACTTAAATTTAGCCAACATCAGCACTTTTACGGAATCGACTTTTGAATTCTAATTTAAGTAGAAATGGGGAAAAATTATCAGGGAATTTATATTCATTTAAATGGAGATTCAGCTTTCAAGAAATGGAAAATAAAACGAAGAGGCGTTTTTTTGCCAAGCCACTTTGGCAGCGAAAATGCGGGCTCAGCAAATATATTAAATTCATTAATTTCCACTTACTTTTGTATTGCCATTAATTATTCTAAATTCGCGCTAATAATCGGACATTTTTCTTGCATACGGTATTGCGATTTTGTAGTTTCGGCAGCAATCCTACCATCTCCAGAGGAATATTAAAACAAAAGAAAATAATTACGAAATTAATCTTCCTCCAAAGACAAAACGCGCGTCAGGTTTTAAAACAAAGTTTGAACAAAGTGGTAAAATCCTACAGATTAGAAGAAGATCTGTTACGGCATTCAAGCCTGGATGTATTTTTGATGTCCACTTAGGGTTCCGGTTCCATCTTGAACTTTCATTGTGATCAACTCATCGGTCGTTGAAAGAGCTCGATCTTGAAATGTTGCGAACGATCAGATAATGAGTTAGGTGATGACTGCGACCAGAGACTTATTACTTGTCTCTGACTGCGACTTTGTTTCAAGCGGGGAAAAATAACTTGGCGAGCAAAGCGTAGAGAAAGATTCAAGTGAGATTAAACCAGGTTCAAAATTATTTCGTGAGAAGACAGGGCGACGGCCGGATAATCAAGTCACAAATATTTTCCAGTYATGCTGCAAGTTTCGTACTACCGAAATTATAGACATAATTGYGKTTCATTCAAAGAAACTGAACTCGATCCATACGTGCACAATTGCGTAGCAGTTATACATATTATACAAGAGAYTTCGAAATTTTGATATCACAAACAAATCTTAAACACGTTGGCAGATTTTCTTCGTTCGTTTTAAAGTGTCCCGCGTTTTAAAAATACACCTTTCAAATAAATAGGCCATCTGCGAAATGCGAGACGTGTTGTGCTTGTAATCCCCAAAGTAAACCAGGGTTTTGCTTGACGTTTAAAAGGAACATTTAACACAAAACTGTGTCATCACGGCAGAAATAAAACAATCCCCTGCGGGTGTTTGGCAAGATTGCGTTTGAGATAGAGAGACCAGGGCGATTTTTAGCCCCGAGGGCATTACGAGATATTATTTTTGCTCAACGTTCAACGATAAAAAGTGACGGATCCTTGCTAGGAAGATGAAAGATTGCTTGAAATCCCGAATTGAGCTCYTGAACAAGAGATTTCGRATAAACTRRAATGTTATATAAACATTGTKGGGTGATGTCTGGTTTAAAACKGTTGTTATTAAAATGTTAWATTGCGGCCGTCAGAATGATATGTATGTTTCCGACCAGTAGATCAAGATGACCATAAATATGAGAAGAAGTATAACTAAGAGATCTGTCYCGARCRGAAGCAATTAAGTARGAAAAAACGATAAGAACAAAGKAGTTTCRGGCAGCATCTKRCCTGGGAGAAGATTTTATTAASTAACATAATAATTAAACYARCAAAACGAGAGMAATTAAACAGCCATATATTACAGAAAATGAAGAAAGCGCACGAGGAAAGGGGAGTTCTAAACAATGTAGATTTTGATTCAGCAATGCCGTAAATTTGAAAATCAAATAAAAAAGCGTTCATAATTCCAAAAAATCTGCAAAAGTATCTGAGATCATATAGTTGCAGAATTTAAGGTTTTAAGTATATAAAAACTGAAGATCCTGTATCCTGGCTATCCCCTGCAGAAGACTTTTTATGAAGATTACGTTGTTCATATTGTTAAACTAGATTTTTAAATAATTTGTATTTTCGTAAAGGGACTCCTAAAATCGGGTGGAGCAATTTTTTTATAGAGCAAATATTAGAGTACGCTTTACAACAAAAAAAAAACTTTGCTGTAAAGAGTGTGTTGTTGAGTTAGCGTTCTGAACCATTTGTTGAAGCAGAGCGACACAAGTTTTTCTAAGCAATGACTAAGGAAATGTGCTGAAAATGTCCATGTAAAAATTGATTTGATTCTCGTTTCAGAACAATAGCCTTGACCTGGTCTAGAATCTTAAATCCAATTGTGTGATCACAGCCCGTATGCAAAGTTGCTCATCAGTTGTATTTAAATGTGTGAAAGACGATGGTCTTAATAAACGTAAAATGGTAATCTTGTCCAAAATGCCGGGACAGTTTCACGAAATAATACTGTTATATTTAATTCCAAGACAAGCCTTGTGATCATTGTTTGAACTAATCCAGAAGAAGAAGATCACCTCGAATGTAATTTTTAGTTTTCAAAAATGTAACACATTTAAATGTAATGCCTCTGGAATTAAAATTATTAAATCAAAAAAAAAATGCGCATTCTCAATCTTTATCCTCGTTTGACGAGATCGGAAATATTTTCCTACAACCGTAATTTTTACGGACAGGCCTGTAATCAACCAGAGACGAATGTGCGGCGGATACATAAAAGAAAATGAAATATTGCCAAGCATTTGACTTGAAAAAAAAAAATGTTCTAAATTATAATGCTAGCATTTAAAATCACTTTAATTTAAATCACATGTGATACAAAAGAAAAAAATAATTTCAAACAGAGAAGGCTTCCGAACAGAGGGGTGGGGGGATTATTGGGCCTTAAAAACTTCAGATCCCAAATAACATGGATTTATATGGATACATGACTTCACAAAACTCGACCCTTGGTTGAATATTCCCAATTAAATGCGTAATCTAAACCTAAACTGTCCTGGTTTAAGGTTTTTAAAGTCAAAAATTGATTTGATTAAAACTGCTTGATAGAACAAATTTCTTCTACTGTTCGTTAAGTTTTTCGCCACAGACTGCAAGAAGGCCTGTCTTATATCGGTAATGACTTTAAACATGATGCGAATTCTTAAATTTGATTTTTATCTAATTTATGGTTGATCTAGTTATGGGCCTATTGAATGAATTGTTTTAATTGAGTTGCTAACTTAATGTTAAACAATTCACTTGGTCCACAAGTTTATTTCTAGTATATCAATAAACACCCAAATTTCAGCGACTGCCAAACTATGCATTTATAAAGAAACAGTTATGTAATGCAGTTATAAACAAAACAGAAAAGTCTATTTGGATTTTTTCAGTCAAAAAAAATTATTAGGGCCTGTTTTCAATTTCGCGTCAACATCGCTAAAAAATCGTCATGAATGCAGAACCCCAAAAGAAATCACATCAAGATATGAGAGTTACGACATTAATGTCTCGTTGTGAGAAATCGTTTTATGTGCAAATGTGTACGTTTACAATTTAAATTTGCTCTTACTAAACCTCTTTTCCCTTTCATATGGAAAAACTATTTCGTACGTTTCATACCTCACGCCCACACTGCATGTATCGATCAAAATATTGGCTTCTTAGTGAAACTTAAAGCTACTAGATTAAGCTTTAAGGTTGTTTCTAACAACCTTCTGCTTCTTTTTTCAGGTGAAAGAAGATTGGAAGTATGTTGCCATGGTTCTCGACCGACTATTTTTATGGATCTTTACGCTAGCGGTACTTGTAGGTAAATAGCCAAGAACCGCATATTACTCAAAGACTAGGATACTGTGACGACAAAATCGATCACACTAGCACAAAAGTTCCCAAATTACGAGAACATTTTCAGATTTCTTTGTTGATTGTTTATTGGCGTGCAGAAGTAGCACGTTTTTAGACAGAATGCTTCAATTGCCAATTCTAATTACTATATTGAGCTTGAATATTTTCGGAAAACATAAACAACCGTTTTCATTCGAACCAGTGGCATTCAGTCTTTTGTTTATGAAATTATAAAAATGATCAGACATTTAGGTGCATGATTATTCCAAAATTTTGTGATTTTTGTCCCGTTTTTGCTCATTTCTGGGAAGCGAAATGAGCAATAACGCTCATTTTTACATAATTGCAGAGAGAACTAAATGGCCCTTTTAGAAAGTGAACAACCACTGTTAAGCAAATATTGGCAGTTTTCCCAAAAAAGTCTTGATTTCAAGAAGCTATAGATTCCATTTTTTACTGCATATCGGAATACCAAGCTTTTACAACGCGTAATTTGTGCACATTCAATGATGGTGTAGTAAAACTATTTAAACTGGTTAAGAGATCTAGACTTGGTTGCATGTGAACTAATACCTAAAACTCCAGCAATCTTGCTCAACTAAATTTGCGATATTTTTCTTCCTTAATATTTATTCCAAATCAAAATTAATTCCTGGGTTTCAGTCATTTATTGTCGTTATTATGAAAATGTATGCCAAGGCTTAAAGCAGCAACAACGCTACACGTAAAAACTGATGATGGTGGAAAAATACACCAAAACGTATTTTAATTGACAAATAAAGAAAATGACTGAAACCCAGGAATTAATTTTGATTTGGAATTGAAACACAGTCAGGAAAGTATATACTTAATATTTATGTGAAAACTTAGAAGTCAGAAACCTAGATGCATGTTTTGTATTTGTTTTATTGTTTTTTACAATATTAATCCTATGTTTTAGGTACAGCCGGCATAATTCTTCAAGCTCCATCTTTATACGACGACAGAACACCTATCGATAAGAAATTCAGTGAATTTGCAACTACACTTGTAAGATGTCCGCCACCGTAATAAATCTAAGCGATTTCTTTGAAACCAGCCGTTTAAAATAAGTTTGTGTAGGTACTGTATGAATCAATTTGCTGTTAACGACCAGTTGAACTAAATCTGTTGTGTAGAATTAACAGATTGAAATAAGCTGCGCTAAAGAAGTGAATATAGAAAGTAACAGGTTTATTTATTTTTATATTTTGGGAGATATGTAGTTGCTTCTATTCTTTAGTTATGAAGCACAACAAAGCTTTGATGTATGTGAAAATGGTAGAAAAACTAGAAAACAATGTCAAATAGTGTACACCACAACGAAAACCGTTCATGACAAAACTTTATTTTTAAATAAAATTGTTGAGTTATTCAAACGCTTATTCCAGCAGAAAGTGGCTGATTGATTTGCATTGCACAGCACTTTTGTAAATTTTAACATTCGGTGTATCCCGCGCACAAATGGAATATAAAGAGGATCGATAAGATAGGACGAAGGCAAAAACTTAAAAACACAACAGAAACGGAAGCAGTCCTTATTGCAATTGCGAAAATTAATTAACACACTAATAACAACAAAACATTGTAAATTGTAAAACAACACGAGGAAAATTCGAAAGGAATATCTCACATCTTATGTAAAGTGTGAAGCCAAAAAATTCGGAATTATAATAGTAACGAAAAACTTCATTTTACTTGGATTACAATAATACAATAAAATAGCATCAAAAGAATGCATAATTGAGAGAATCTTCGAAAATATGATGAAACTAATGGATAATATCACGTCCTGCTTCCAGGCATTTTGATACGACCTCAAATTAGTGAACAAAAATGGATGTTTGATTTATATACGACTGGCTGAAATACGCAAAAAATGTCTTGGTTTAACGTAATCACGCAGTAAATAACAGAAAACATAATTCATCATTTCTCAGCTTGTAGCTCAGATCATTGGATACACCGTCAAATTCGTTTTTTTCGGTAATAATAAAAAATGGAGCAAAACAATAAATGTAGCACTATTGAAAGGCAATAATTTTATATCACATATGTAGAAGTTTTATAGACTTACGTAGTCGAATGATTATGAAAACACGTTTACTTGTGAAATTTAGCAGAAGATAGACTAAATAAATTATAAGGTAATAAAGTGTTCAGTCGTCCCACTTGTATAACAAAGTGACATAAAACCCATGCTTATGACATTTTGAAAACGTTTGCCATCTACCTGAATATTTGATATTTAGAAAATTTTATATACATTTACGCAAACGTCCTACTTTGGAAAAAACCCCAAAGTTGACTCGGTATTTTATTATTGTAAGACTCAATAAAGTGTGCTCACCAAATAGCTCAATAGTGAGATTTACTAAATGCAATGTGTTTCAATACTAAATAACTTGCTGAGTTGTGACTAACAGGTCATGATCAACGGTAAAACAAAGAGTACTAATTCTGCCCAGTTTACGTATTGGATTTAGTATATCTGATCTATTAATTTTATTGTATAAAATGTATTTTAGATCAATTTAAGAAAATACTACATAACTGTTTTATTGAAATCTTCGGACCAAACTATTTTTTTTCAACAAAGACATACAACAAAAAGGAAACAAAATTGAATAAACTTGTCAAATGACCCTAGAATTGGTTGAAATTGACATCAGTTAGTCTTGAGACAAATACGAATCTCTCTCATGGCAAAATTGGACCGAAATTTGACATAACAAAATTGGGAAACATTTCGAAAACTTTTCCCCAAAATGTTACATGTTTTTAGAAAATCGTCAATTGCTCGCTTATTATCGATCGTAGCTAAAAAGTTAACTTTTCTTGGCAGTTAAGACAGCCGATCGACGAGACTGACTAGATTGAGCTGAGCTCTTTTGGTTACCGAGAAATTTGCATTTGTTTTTTGAAAATCATATATTCGAGATTTTCTCGCAAACTATGAAAGCTGAAAAATTGAAAAGATACTGTTTGATCATGCCCGATGAGCCTGAGAGTTCATAAAAAACAACTGTTGTCGACAGGAATCTTTCTTTTTCAGAAAAAAAATAAAATGTTAAAATTTTTAAAAATTGACAAGGGGTTTGTGCGAAATATTTTTCTCGAACTATTCCTTGACATGTGGTTAGATATGGGAAAGTTACATGATAAATCAACTTAGGTCGCGTCAAAAAAGTTTTTTCTGTGAACTACAGAGGGAAGACGAAAAAGTTTGTGCAGGCCCTTATGGAAGAGAAATTTTCAAATAACATTACAATTGGTTGAATTTGACACCAATTAGTATTGAGATAAATATGAATCAACTCCATTTCAAATCGATTCCGTAAATTGGTAGAAGAAACTCCATTTAACTCCAGGTAATGGGTAAATTGTGGTACCGATCAACTGAAATGCTTCCCAAAAATCAGAAAATGATGATGAATGGTTAGACAGAAACCTAGCTAATAGATGTGGATTTTTGAATGCCATAATGAGAAACTATAAGTTTCCGATTTTGGCCAGACCATTTTGAAATCGATTTTGGGTATCAAAAATTAAGGTCCAAAAATTGGATATTGTGAAATACATAAAAAAATTACGATTAAAATTCCAAATTAGCTCGAATATGCAATAAAAATACCGCATTCCATTTAAAAAAAGGTAAGCTTGGTCTGTCACTTGAATTTGAGACACCCCGTATCAATTGGTACCATCTTTAAATAAACTAATCATTAATATCTACAACTTTTCTATTTGACGTTTTTCTCTAAATTTCAAATTAGATACATAAACGGGGTGGTCAAAGTTCAATAGTTCAATCAATAACCCTGTCCATAAAGTGTAGGCCAAAAACAGGACTTTGTTTTAATCGGATTAATGCAGCAAATTATTAAAATTTAACCGAAAGTGTAAGATTTTTGTTGCGTACTCCGAACATTTCTATAAAGTAGTAATTTGTTAGTATGAATAAGAATAACCGCTAGCACCTTATGTTGTTATGAGCAGAGCTCCCTTTTCACTCAATAGAAACTTACAAGTTATAAGTTGTTGCCACTAAGTAACTTTTCAGTTTCAAAAAATCAGGAATATATGTACATTAGAATTTAGTATTGATGATTCAAGTGTATGTAATACATTGTATAGCAGCTTAAAGCCTTCGGAACATGTGAATGATTATTATTTTGTCTACTTTGGCCAACCACCAAAGCCTATATCAAAGTTACCACAAATTAATTTACTTTAAACAATGTAAAATAACGGAAGCGTTGTAAATAAATAAGTACTTGCTGTTTTGAAGGTTTTTTAAGATGATACCTATTTGATACACAAATACCTACGTTAACAAAGTAAAACCATTAGACCTTAGAATAAATACTAGTTCAATAGACTGCCTAGCATACATACATATATTTATAAATAAAAAGGGAACATGTTTCCAGAATTGGTTTTTTTCAGGCAACTTGCAAAATACGTTATTCTGACTAACTAATTACTAAAATTGATAATTATTTACAAAGCGCCGTACTAAGCAAGGTATCAGCAAAACTCCTATTCTGACTATTGTAAATATTAGAAAAATATATATACTGTGTGTTAGAAAGTTTTCAATGGATTGTAGATAATAAATATAAAAACGTTGTTTCGAGAAAAAATATAAGTACGACCTGTTAGAATTCAAGGCAAATTGTTATACCCAAAGAATAAAAATTGTTGCATGATTTTTTAATCCTGCTTATACAATAAATAAAAGGAATATATGTACTTTTTATTGCATTTTGTTCATGTGTATTCCAATCCCGTCCGCCGAACAATAATAAACAAAAAAATCAATGAAAAAGAACCTGCTGCTTTATTACGCCTTAGCCAACGAAGATAACAGGATTTAATTTAAGATTCTAAGGGATTGACCCGTCCTAGGGAGTTGAAACAAGGAGGCTAAACATATTAATTTAAAGTGTCCGCCTCCCAAAATTGACGGGTTTTTCCGATTTTTAATATTTTCAACTGCAAGAAAGATATTAAGGGTGGAAGTTTTCAAATTGACACCCTGTATGTAAATCAATACATAACTATTCAACAAGTATAACTTTGACATAAATAGGTGGAAAAAGCAACATTAAGATAAAACCACAGCACAATTATTCAAATGATATAGACATACATACTAAACAGGTACTACATATGCGCACTTTTTAAATTAGTTAATTATAAGAAGGCGGCTGATTAACACATTAAAATGCAACTGAATAATTACGCACAAACTAATTTTTTTTTGATCTGGGGTTGAAACCCTTATATCGTGTACAGTGGCGGCGCCAGCTTGATTTTCCTATTTTTTTTCAAGGTGGGCAGGAGATATTTATACTTTTAATTGTAAGAGTTGGATATTGGATACATATCTTTTTTACTTTTTACTTTTACTTATTTACTTACTTTTAGGTTTTACTACTACTTCTTTGTCCGAATATAATGTAAAATAATTTTTAGTTATTTTTATTTAACATACAAGCGTTGCAAAGACTCATTAGAAAACACTTTAACGACATGTTTTTGTCAAGCCAGGAGCTAACAGAGTTTGAATATAGCTTGAGTGTCCCAATACGAATATACAGTACAAATAGGTATTATACGAGATTTTATCTACTTTCGTAGAATAACGAAAGAAATGTTATGAAATAAAAATATATTTCACAAGTGTGAACATTTTTTTAAACGTTCTTATGTTGAGCACAAAGGCTGAATGAAATTAGCTACAACTCTAGTATTGTAATAAAAACTATTATAAACAAACCCATTTTTTGAATTAAATAATTCCTTTTACTAAACGAAAGTAAATTTAAAATATTTAAATTAACGAATAACATTATAAACATTGAATAAAACTATAATAAGGTAGAAATAATGTAATAATGAAATAATTTTTTATTCTCTTCAAAGTGCTGAAATATTTTTCGCAACTTGCACTAGAAGATGGTACTGTCGTTGCAATATTACATAGTTTATTCATTTCATGCAGGACTAAACTAAAATCTTGCAAAAGAAGGGTCAGATCTGTTAAAGTGTTTTTTTTACAAATTTTACAAATGATGGTTGGGCGCTCGCCCAACCTTGCCCACCCCTAGCGCTATGCAAGACAATGCACCAAGAAGCATAAAACTTCGAGATAATTATTTTTAATATTCGCCATCTGCAACTGACAATAATGTGATAAAAAAATAGGCCGACTCGATCTTCAAGTAAAAGCTGTCGCTAGTTCGCAACAAGTCACTTACGTCTGTCCAGAAAATAGTATGCGTATTTTGAGGAATTCTTCACTGGCATTTTCTTAACTGATAAAAAGCAAACCCTATTTACATTTTCGATGTAGTGTTTAAGTGGTTTCTTATCCATGAATTCATTAATAATAACGCATTTGGCTAAATACCGTAAGCATTTCAAACGGGTATTTAATATAGCGCACCCCAGTCTTACAACTCCAGTTCCAAATTTTTAAGTCAACCTATAGTTACAACCGCAGCAACTAGATATGAAGAACTTGTTAAGTTTTTTAATGTTTGCCTTATGTAGTAGACTAATTAGAGGACAGGTACGTTTTCCAAAAATGTTGTTACTTTTTTCTGGTTTAGATCCGCTTCGCATTTTTTAAACCGTACTAGCTGGATTATTTTTGCTTTATTTCAAACACGTTTTCCAATTTTCTATTAAATAATGACTCCACCTGAAGTTAAGAGTTTGTATTAATATATGAAAAGAATATTTTTCGTGCGGATATAAAAATTGTGCGACGTTCGTCAATGCACGACGTGGAGCAATAATCTCCAATTTTCCATTTAAATAACAATTTTACAACCTAGTTAAAAAGTTTATTTCACAACTGCTTTAGAGTTTTCAGCAAGCATTGTTACTTTCTTCGCTTCGTGTTGCTCTTTTATTTTTGCCCTATATTTCTTCCAAAAACAATTTTTTTAGAGTGCGAACAAACATTCACATGTTGGCTCTTCTCACCCGTTTTCCGAAACGCTCACTGATCCAGGAGATGCAAATATAATAATTTCCTGATTGTCGAAGAATAGCGGATTTATTATTTGGATTATGAATATCCAGCGGACTAATTTGTGTTGCGACCGAGTTGCAGGTTTCGCTGTTCAAGTACATATTTCAAATCTAACGATGGTTACAGGTACTAAATACTTGTAAATGCGCTCGGCGACAAAAGTTTGTTTTAATTACTTATCCAAGGGTAAGTTTTATCGCTGAGATAAACCATGCATTCTGGTCAGAATGTTTGAAATTGTTGAGCTATCGTCAGCTGAAACGGCAACGTATATATCCGATTATCTCASTMCAGAGTTTATGGTMAAAAAACATTGGATAGTTGTTAGAGGTAAAATGTTCCAGCAGGTTCGGATGTCGTTRATGTTTTTYGGCGCATWGGRAATATTTGGAATGAAATCTATGCATTCCATRCACAATTCGATGAAGGCATATCAGTTTYTCAAAAAATATTTCTGAATCTGTGGAYTATTTATATAATGAAATGTCCGACAAAWGAYTCGAMATAATATTTACCTACGACCACTACTGTAAGTAGCATAAAACATACYWMCTACCTTTGAACCTCAAGGGTTACTAAATACCACTTTAGAGAATGTTAAGCGACAGTCAAAATGAAACGTGTTTAGAATCTGGCAAGAGCCTTTTTTACATAACAAATAGGAATTAGCTAAAAGTTATTATTATTTTAAGCAAAAATTTGTAATATTTATAACGTGTACAAAGATCTCCAGAAAAACAAATTAGTACAATTTTTTCTTAAATACTTAATTAATTATAGAAAATTAAAAAAAACGATAAAATCGGCGTTTTTTATTTGGTTTTTCAGAAAACAAATCAATGAACGGATTTTAGTTCAGCTTGTCTCAAATTGTTGGTATTTTTGCTACTTCACAAAAATTATTAAATTGTTTTTCAATTGCATCAACGATTGAAATGCTATGCGCAAAAAAACGGTTCTTGGCACTTTCTTTGGTTATTTAAACAATGTCCTACGGCCGGAAACTATTGTCCCAAGATTAAGACATAGATCAACTTCCAATGTTCTTTGATCTTCATCTATTTAGTGCTTGCAAAGAATCTAATCCGACTGGACTAAACAGTGTAACTGTTATTCTAGCATTATCGTAACCATTTTAGGAATTTTTGTAGCATGTTAATTTCAACTTGTATCACCACAAAAACCAGTATTAACGCTTCCTTATTGTTTCAGGGAACAGCTCCACTAATAACGATTTCTGATGGAAAACTGAAAGGCTCAGTTAATTCTACCTATAGCCAAAAGCTTACCTATTATGCATACCGAGGAATTCCGTTTGCTAAAAAACCGATCGACGATCTCAGATTTGCAGTAAGTTTGATTTTATCTGTTAATAGTGTTGCCTGGAGGACGGCATTTCACTAAGTATATGTAAACTAGAATATTATCTGTAATAAAGTCGAAACAAAAGTGCCAACTAGATAAAGATAATGCATGGTAAAACGTATGGTTGGTTGAACAATTCATAAATCGAAAAACATACTGCGTGATTCTCAACCTTATGGACAGAGAGCAGGGGCGTGTAGAGGACTTCAAAACAAGCCGAGCTTTCATTTAATTTTTTTTCATTCAGTCCTATTGTTAAGGAAATACAGGGTGTTAAAGTTTTTAAAAACTATTGGAATTTAATCTTTAACTCCTACAGTTTAAGAGATATTTGAGCAAATTTTGAACATTCGCTGCTGTTTAGACCCAGAAAGTTAATTGAAAATCACCCAAAAACGTTGTGGAAATAGCTCGAAAACGAAGGCAGACGCGGAAAAACTGCAAGAGATAAAAAAAATCTTAAATTGAACATCAAATGGAGAAATTTGTTCGGTCGAAGTCAGTGGCAAACCACAAAAAACTTCGCGGGGTAAAAGGGGGGTATGACACTAGAAAAAACACCATGTATATTTTGATAACAACTTAGCTTACATTCGGATAGAGGGTCTAAAGAGATCATACGTAAAAAAATTGAGAGAGAGTTAAAGAGAAAATACAAATATGATAAAAACTGATATGGCAACTCGACTTGTTTTGAGCTTGTGGTGTGTCCATAAGGTTGTGAATCACCTTGTATGTCTACTGCAATAGCGATGGCAAACAAACAAAATATTCCTGTACATTTTGATCAAAGCGGTTTAGGTATATAAAAACTGAAAACACATATTCTTTAAATAACATCAATCGATATTATTAATACGCACCTAATAAAATTGGCTTAATAACGTATATGTGTTTTACAAAATTTACAGCCACCAGCAAAGAATGACCCATGGAATGGAACCTTAGACGCAACTAAAGATAAAGATAAATGTACTCAGATTGCTTTATTTTATAGTCCGTCTACAAATGTAACAGGCTCAGAAGACTGTCTATACATTAACGTTTATACTACAAATGTAAGTAAAACGATGATATGGAGTATTGATTTAGATAAATTTTCTTGAGCCCTTCGAATACTTCGAACAAGACAACACACATGTCAACTAATGTATCAGAACACAATAACTGAGCAAATATCAGATTACTACAGAAGCTTAAAAGTTATACATACGTCTAAAATCCACCGACAACTATTACCATCTACCCCATTACATGAAGATTCCTGACCAATCTAACATCAAATTTTAGGGTTCGGGGATCACATTTGAGATTCAGTTCAGATCTCTTAACATATATTGTATTAACCGAGTTTCTACTTTATGTTCGAACTGGCCAACTCCTATTGTTTGGTGTTCCATCACATTCCGTTCCGCAGGTCAATTTTCAACCTGTGAATTTTTTTCCAAACACTGATGTTTCATACTAAAGAATTTCTGTAATCACATCAGGGTTGCTACCGTGTTTTCACCGATGTCCCTTTCGAGACACTGTTCACCCTCATCTAAAAAATACATGTACAGTGTCCGACAAAGCAGCGATCCCCAGTGCTCAAAAAATCTGGGGCACCATGAAAATAAATATTAGCCTTAATCTATTTTCAGTCTGATTGTAGAGACTAGCCGTCGAATAACATTATTTGGAAAATATGTGATGATTGGATTGGTAAACTTCAAGCTACATCTCTGCAGGACTCTTACTTGTGCTACATTAAACTAATATTTAACCTGACCGCCCACTATTTATACACTTAGATATTGTATTTTAGTCAAAAATTAATAAACTTTACAATAATCTAGGTGACTGGAAACTTACCCGTGATGGTATGGATATATGGTGGTACATTTATGGGAGGTACATCTGCATACTATCAGTACGGCCCAGATTATTTTTTGGAGAAAGGAGTAGTCTATGTATCATTCAATTACAGATTAGGTATTTTTGGATTTTTAAGGTAAGTCGTCCTTGTAAGCCAATTGAATTATTAGTTTTTAAAATGCAGACGAACATATACAAACATTTGTGGCATCATATTTCAGACAGAACGTTAGTCCCAAATGCTACACAACGGGTACTTTATTGTCATCTGGGGAGTTGGCTTGGGTTTTCAGCTAACTACCCACCAAATTTGGGATTTGAATTTAGAACCGTTCCTTAGATCAAGCTTGTTCCGTAAACATCTGTAATGGCATTTTTTTCTTAAACAATTGACAAGAAACACTACGCGGTTATCACTAAAGAATCCCTTTTGAAAGCTTGATGTGAAAAATACCAAACACTTGACAAAGGATAAAAAATTAAATATTTAAAGTAGTTCTGAGCATCTTCTGATTTTTGTACACCTAATTCTAGTACTGAAGATTCAACAGCACCCGGCAACTGGGGATTAAAAGATCAAGTTTTGGCGTTACAATGGGTAAAACAAAATATTAAAAGTTTTGGAGGAGATCCAAACCAAGTGACCATTTTTGGACAAAGCGCAGGAGGAGCTTCTGTATCATACTTAACCCTGAGCAATTTGACGACAGGTAAGATCAAAATATAGTAAACCAGAAATACGTGCACGATTCGAGTGCCTTTATTGGGACTTCACCTCCAGTTACGATGATAGTATGCTTACGTGTGTTATTGGTCTTACTTTGATATATTTATATTCCTGCAGAACACACATTGGTAACAAAAATACACTTCTTACCACGAAAGTTTTGCAAATTTAGCGCGAATGAAAAGAACTTCTAATTGTTCTATGAATATCAACACAAATCGATTTCTCCACATTGGCCTTCAATGAGAAAAACCTGGGTAAAACTATGTTTAATGTTTCGCATATTCACCGAAACCGAATCTTCACATAAGGGCATGGCCATCTCAGATGAAAGTACGCATTTGTCTCAAGAAATGACTAATTAGTTTAAAACAATAATCAACTTTATAGTTACATTTACATTCTCATAGGTTTATTCAAAGGAGCAATTCTTCAAAGTGGTTCCAGTCTGTGTCCATTTGCTCATACAACCAACGCGAGGGTAACGGCATTTGCAGTAGGTTTAAGCCTGGGGATTGAAACTATAAGCTCCCAGACGCTGGTTGAGAAGTTAAGAAAAATCGACTATAAAACTTTGAAAATAGCCGAAAACAACGTATCAAACATAGTACGTAATTAACAATTTAAAAGACGGTTTGTAAATGTTGCCTTGCATTTCAGTACGCAATTACGGATGGTTTCTTGGGAGGTATACCGATGGGAGTTGTCACGGAACCTGCTCTTCCTGGTGCATTTATAACAAAAAAGAATTGGGAGCTGCTTTCAACAGGACAATTCCAAAAAGTGCCATTACTTATGGGTTTTAGCTCAAATGAAAGCGCAAATTTGGATCTTAATGCTGGTATGTATATTTATCAAAATGCAAATTTAATGTTTTGGAGAAAGTGTCTTTTTACACATATGAAGGGTGATAATTTGAAAATTTTCAATGCCTATATTCGAGGAACAGAAAAACATAAATAACTTCTCGGAACGGTTTCCCTATTGGCCTCCGCCTTCCCAAATCTTCAAAAATTCGTGACGCTTGGACTCTAACGTTACATTTATTAAAAGCAGTGGTGACCGCCTAACAAAAACGATTTGAATACATTGATTGATTAATTTTACAACTTAGTTGTAATCCACTTGTAATAAAAAATATATGAAGAACGTGAGATGAACCCAAGAGTAACTCATCTACGTGAAGGGGTATTGTGACCGGGTATAGATGATCTGTCTTTTCCTCTTGCAGTGCGGAGCACGCCTCTTTTGCTGCAATACAGTTTGGACTTAAAACTCCTTGCTCCTGCAGGCCTAACAAAAAATTTAATTAAGCAAATTTTGGCTGGAGCTAAAGTAAGAGGGCACTATTTTAACACTGTCAATATCGCAAGTGATCCCAAAAAGTTCACTCAGGTAAATAAAAAGCCAACAATTGACGACCTAATCATTTTATGAAACAATTGTGTATTTCAGTTTCTCAATGCTAACCAATTCATAAGGCCCATACGAGAAACGGTTGCCCAGAGTTCCAAGTTCTCCAAAGTGTATTTTTACGAATTTGCATACCAAGGACACGTTGGAGATCCAAATAATACACATCAAGGTAAATGTTATAAAATTAATAGTAAATTTTCACTTAGAGTTGTTGCAACGTTTAAAAATCACAAAAATGTCTGTTTCACGTAGAAACGAATCAATTCAAAATGGAATTATGGCACCAAATTGACAAGTTAATGCGACAAACGCGTCGGCAACACACGTACCCTACTTGAAATGACGAAATAAAAAACGAATTAAAATAATAACGTCAAGAAAAAATCAAACGAAAGCCAATAGAGTGGCAGCAGCAGCCACCTGTTTTTTATAATTATAAATCTATAATTTATATAATGCAAGATATGAGTAGGCTTTGTTATATCTTTCAAAGCTCTACATTTGAACCATACGACCGCGTGCCAACTATAAGCTTTTGTATTAACTCATATTATTATTAAAGGCGTTGCTCATGCAGAAGATTTGAACTATGAATTTATTATGTCCGATGTAACTCCAACCGCAGCCGATAAGAAAGTAATTCAGAAAATGGTGACCTTATGGACCAACTTTGCTAAAACAGGGTAAGCGTTAATATAGGTAATATGTTTAAACCGGAACTATTACTTTACATTTTTTCATCAAATCACCAGAGTAAGTTCGTAGAAAACTACAAAAGTTCCGCTAGAATGGTTACGCTTAAGTATTGAATTTACTTACATCATATCACCATACTTAAAACTGCTCAATTCTCTTATATGAGTCGAATTTGCTACATGCCAAGCACCATGATCAACATCCAAATTCAGGCGGAATCATTAATTAGCTTAAACGCAATTCGAACTCTACAATTTTGATGGTACATTCCTAAAGTAATTTTTACCACTAGATTTGCCATATACTTCATTTTCTTGGCAGTTCTTCAGTTTATTGCTGCAATTACATCTTCTTGTAGCAAAATATCGACCACCTTAGTGGAGGTGCAATTTACAACTTTCGCTTCCCTTAAGATTTTTATTTACATATCCAAATTTTACTGGAAGTTGTTTTGATTTTCATACTCAGCACACAAACTCATTGTCCGTGAGGGAATTTATCTATGTCTACTACATTTATTCGGTGCGCAAGCACTCTTAGGACATCAACAATACGAACATCACTCATTTTCTCCTGAATGTGAGCTTAAGTGAGCTATATAATTTGATTTTTTTTTATTTATACCGACCACTATTTCCTAATAATCATAACTTTGTAATAACAAAATTGTAGTTGTTGTAGTAAAGTAAATCGACAAATTTAATTTAAGACTCTACTGTCGAGTACCCCTACGAAATGTCGGATTGGGTCTCAGACCTTAAGATATTTATTGACCACTGAAATCACAAGAGCCCGTATTACCCCAAGAACCGTCATTTCGCATTCTATCCTATATAAATAGAATAAAACCGACATTTATTATTTCTGATTGTAGGAATCCTACGCCTTCAAGTAACTCCGAAGTTCTGGAGGGCCTAATCTGGGAACCAAATGGCCCAGGTTCCAATGCTAGCGCACCCATAAAATATCTCAATATTGACACCAATTTCACTATGATGACGAATCCATTCCAAGATGATTGGATCTTTTATCAAAATTTGTACAAAACTTATGGTGATCCTCCATACGTCACCTATTGATTAGGAGACATGTAACTTTGGGATCTTTAACACCTTGAAAATCTATATTGTTTTATGTTAACCCTTTCATTGCACCTGACCATGTATTAAAGTTCCAACAAACCTAACCAGGATTTTTATTGAGAGAGTGTGTGCAGTTATGTGGCATAAGCGTCACATGTTGATTGGTATGCCTTGATTGGCTGAGGAGCTGTACGAAGTATAGAATAAACTCAGATTATTTAATCATTTAATTTAATTAGTCGCTTTTTCGATAACTTTCTTTAAGCTTTACTTCGCAGTCCGATTCCAGTTTTTTTATTGTTGACAGTTTTGTAGAAAGTTTTTCATTGCAATATTTCCAAAGGCAACTCAACTAAAAACTCAAAAAAAATCTTTTACTAATTTCATTTTCAAG